AGTCATCGACCTCAACAAGTTTCATCCGCATTTTTTGCGTACGTATGAGCAATGAGTGTGGGGGGGGGGAGTGAGAGGAGGGGGAGGAATATATCATCAAAAGATGTTGTAAGTGAGGTAATAGCTGAAGACTATATAGCTTATCATTCATAAATCTGACAGATGAAGAGAGTAGATGCATGGAACTAAAAAAAAATTCTTTTTATGGAATAATAGCAATGAGAAAATGTATTTCAAAATGATGCCTTGGGCTATTTTTCACAGCCGCTTCTTAAGCAAACAATCACATATTGATTTGTCCGTGATAAATTCTAACCAAGGCTATTAATAACAATTCGTTCAATGAAAAATAAGTACAGATTGCAGTATAATTTGTGAAGCTGAATTGCTGTCGTCATCTTTGACAAATGAAAAATACTCAAGTTGATGTGTTAAGAATGCAATCGAATATATCGCAGCAGCATTATAGCAAAGGTGAAAAGACAATGAAAATCAGTTTGTCTTGTTTACCATCATAGACACAAAAGGTTAGGAGAGCATTTCAAATACGAACTTTGACAACATAGCAACACGGAAAGATAACAACAGTTCTTATTATGGTATGCGATGGAAGGATTGTAATCAGAATGGAAACAACAGCCATTATGGATCACGCTGCAAGCTTTAGAGAAATACGATTATAAGAGCAACAGGTGCAAGAGAGATAAGAAAAAGTCTTCTGAGCTTTTCGCCCACTAGGCTATATCCAAGATTCTTCTTCCTTCAGTCAAGCTCTTTTTTTTTCTTTTATTACAAAAAAATCCACCACAACTAATATACTACTACTACTACTGCTGCTGCTGCTGCTGCTGTTATGGATAGACGTTCGTCGTCGGCTTAGCTTTCGGAAATTCCAAAATCAAATAACGGACGAGGAGAAATTCCACAATATCCATCAAGAAAATGTTACAGCTCCTACTGTATATTATCATGTGAATCAAGGTTGAAGCTGTTTCATTCTTTGAGGAGGAAAAAAACACACAAAAACATGTGATTCTTTGGAGAGTTGATTGAAAATCGAAAATCATCATCAAAATATTCAATCGAATCTTCCTTCCTCATCAGCCCAGGAATCTCAGCAGTGCTGCTGGTGTGGGCTGTCGTCATGGCTCATTAAAATTCCAAATAACTAATAATTTTAAAATACATGAAATTGAGTGAAAGAATTACTAATATTATGAAAATCATTTTTTCCAATTTTTTTTTCAACTTCTCCCGCCATTTGGAAGATTTAAATTTTCCTTAGAAATATAGAAAAATGTCTTGTAGACGGATTGTCAAAAATAGTCTTGAAAATAAGAAAGCAAAATATTTTTGCTCTAGTTCATAGAAAAATCAAAAAATATTGAAGAAGACTCTGACTTTCTGAGTGTTTTCTACATGCGAATGAACTTTCTCTTCGTCTTCTTCATCAGTTGATTTTTGAAATGAAAAAATCAAATTTTTGGAATAGATGAAAGATATGAATGAGTTAGTGGAAGGAACTTCATGTAAGACTAACACGATTACTTCAGCTAGTTCAATACTTTTCTTTTAGAAAAGCTTCGCGTTAATCTGAGTTATCGCATCGAAAAACAGGCATGCAATTTGGAAACGGAAAGCGCTTGAAAGAAATGAAAGAACAGAGAAAAGTGGAATACTCAAAACGAAAGCTAAATCCCTCTTAATTATCACAGAGCGTCAAACGGTAGTTTGATGCTGAAAACAACAAGCGTAAAGGGTGAGGGAAGGAAGGGTATACAGTCCACACAACTCTATCAAAGTCCAAAATATAAAATAAACTAACTATGCGAATATTTGCTGACGTCAATTGAATTTTGTGCTTTCTGTATATGGCCAGACTCACAATGTATTGTCTGAAACAGAGAAACAATAATTACATGCAACAGAGAAATGAAATTTGAAGCCAAAAAAAAAAAAATCAACGAGTACAGGCACAGGGGGGGTGACAGGCAACCAGAAAAAAAATAATTTTTTTCCCTCCCAAATAGAAATATTCAAATATCCTAACTGAGTATAATGCTCATTTGCATATGAACCGGAAAGTAATGTTCTCTATCTCAATCCTCTTACGACAGCCCCCCAAATCAAGGTTGTAACTGGTCATCAATAACAATTTCTTTAACTTTCGCCCTCCCCAATGGAAAAAAAATATGAATAGAGAAGTGATAGCGAGAAGAGAAAATGCATTAGCTTATCACCATCTCTCCAACGTTTATCCCATATATTATGCAAATTAATCAAAAATTCCCATAAAAAATATGGTGGAATGCGCGAACACTAAAGAAGGAAATGGTTTCAAAAAAAAAATGCAAATAACTATATGATATAGTTAATATATTCAAGAGGCTGCATTGAAGGATGGCACAGAGGACAGTATGTGTGTCTGTGTGTGTGTGGGGTATGGGAGAAGAGAGTTGACTCAAATATGGAGCTGCTGACACTTGGTGTGAAATCGTTGAGTTACGACAAGCTGTTGAAAACGACATTTTGTAGAACATAGTCGTCATCATCACATGTTGGAAAAAGCTTGAAAATGATTACGTCAAGGACCATTCTCGAGAAAAAAGGTAGTATGGGCCAATAAGTGGAAGAGGAAAATGGAACAGCCAATTAGAAAGTTTTTTTTCTTTTCTTATTCATATATTATAATACATAATTGAGCATGATGGTCTCCAAGTGGAAGTGAAACTAATTCTTATGGGAAAGACGTAAGTGAAGCTCAAAGGAGTAGCCGAACTAATATCAAAAAACTCTCTAATGAGAGAAAATGAACAGAGAGAAAGAGAGAGGAAAAAAAGTTTTTTCTTCTCCTTCCAGATATGCGAGAAGAATAAGCGCATGAATATCAGACACATTTGAAAAAGAAAGTCCATCATTCACTTCAAATCCATCTTTCGAAAATAGCAAATAAAGAAGAAATGAAGCATTCAATCTCAATCCCCCCCCCACACACTAACTATACACACATAATTAGGAAAACCTGAATAATACCCGTCATTTGCTTCAATATACTTAAAACAAATCATGAGAAATCAATTGATGAAAAGAACAATCAGTTTTAAAAACCATTATGATAGATCCAATGAAATTGAAAAGTATATCTGATGGCTCTTCGAACAGCTTGGAATTGACCCAAAATCAATCGATAATTCTCAAATACTCATATCGTATCCTATTGTATACTGATCAACAGAATGATAAGGTTGGGTTGTTAGAGCATTAAGGAATAGCCGCGAGTCAAATGAGAGAGGATGAGAGATTGAGAGAGAGGACTAGAGAAATGAGGGAGAGTAGAAGAGAAATAGAGAGAGAGAGATTCAAATAGAAACAATGAAATGAAATACCTTTTACGACAGTCTGTCATCCATCCAACCAACCACACAGTGAACTGTTGAGTTGTTAAATGAGAATGTTGTTGTTGTTGTTTTGGTTGCCACGTGGCTAACTTACATTTATGCAAATGAGTAATCAGATTCAAAAAAAAAGTCAAGAAAAAACAAAAATGCTAATTCGCGCGAACTTTCATAATAAGAAATTTGAATGAACTTTGCGCGTTGTTTTCGAAATGAGTAACTACAACTTGGAGGAATGGCTGGAGGGGGGGGGGGAAGATCAGGGTGGTAATGAGTCTCAGATGGAAAACATACAAACAAGCATTGACAGCAAGTTGGATTGTAAGGTAGTTGTGGATGCATTTGAGTAATAAACAGTTTATTTTTGTGTTTACATAAAGAATAAATAGAAAATTAAATAACAAAAATAGCAATTAGAGAGGGTGATGAAAATGAGAAATGATTGAAAAAACGACTAAATTGTGCTATTTAGGATGATAGACAGATAGAGAGAGAGTAAGAGAGAGTAAGAGAGTAGAGAGAGAAAGAGAGAGAGAGAGATGATATACAGAGAGACTCCTTCTACTTCCAAATATCATAATTGCAGATATGATGAAGCTCAGGAATTGTATTCTCTCTCTCTCTCTCTCCCTCTCTCTCTACTTCTTCTCTACTCTCTTGACTTTTTCAATATTTTTCCATTTTTAATGCAACAATTGAAAATAGATTCTAAAAGATTCAATCCTGCCCTCTCTCTTTCGAAAATATTATTTCTTCGCTTCCATTGCTACAACTTTCTAATTTTCCCACAACCTCAACTGAAACTTTCTAAGAAGCGTGGCGTGTGGAAACTCAATCAACTCATTGCACCGATATTTGACGAATTTTGTATTTTTATTTCATTCTTCATCTCATTCATCCACATCACATTCTATTTCTCCTCTAGCTCAGATTATTGTCTTCAATCCATTCATCTTACATGAACGACCGGATGCACACAAATTGAAATGAAAAATGTTTTTCACAAGCGCGTGTTGCTGGGAAGAGGCGACACGTGGAAAGTTACCGAAATCTTCAAGTTCCTGTTCACGTTTGTCGTTTTTAATTGATTCTCAACAAACGAAAAGTTTGTTGGAAATCTTTCATATTGATTGAAAGATGGATGATGGCAATTGGACAGCTAACTCAACCAATCACACGGATGGTATGGCTTATGGTTAGATGATATGCAACTTTCTCTCCCTCTATAGATTTCTATGATGGTGAAACAAGGAAGATGTCTTTCCATGACGTAAAACGTGCTCTCCTATCATTATATTCGGAAATAGTGAATTCATTTGATTTAGAATGGCTTTTCACGAACTTCTTCGTCATCTTCCTCATTCTTGTTCTCATCTTCATTATCATAATGCTTATATGTATCATTCAAAGTCTCATACGCAGAGTAATTCATTTTCTATATTCATCATTTGATCTAGTTGTGATGCATCATGATAGTTGTTTAGGCGAAGACGAAAAAGAATCTTCAAAGTAAGAGGAGGAAGCCGACATTGGCTGTAACATCAGGATCGACCTTACAAAGTTTGACGTCTTCCGTAAAATCTATTATGAGCTCCAATAATCCCTATGCTACTGGTTGTTGTCTTCTCTCATCTTCTTCTCCATATTGCTGTGCTCATGGAGCATTGCGTTGTTTGTATTATGTTTTGTTTTATTTTTCAGAAAATAATGCTCAGAAGTCCATCACCAACTGCTTACCAAATTCCAAACGACAAGCAGAGAAGTCAGATGAGCTAACACTCAACACGTATGATTTGATTTTCATAACTGCCATCTTAATGAAACATCCCTCACTACAGCTTCTCTACCATTGAACATACGATTGTAGGAGGCGAATTGTGTGAGAAGCGAACTCGCAAGAAGGTAAGTTCTCTCTCTCTCTCTCTCTCTCTCTCTCTCTCTCTCTCTATTACTCTCTCTCTATTCTATCTTTTCATTTATAATTTAATATTATATATTCAGAGAATAAAAGCCAAAACTAATGAAATTGATCCCAAGTGGGTATCGAACGAGCCACAAGCTGCTGTAGATGATCATGGGTAAGATGAGAAGCTTAACCAGATGACCAACGTCAAATCCATTCATAATTCCATTTTTAGAAGTTTATTCAGCAATTTGAATTTATGACACAATGGCTCAGTAAGCTATTCAACCAATTTTCCAAGAAAAACATTACAAAAAAAAGCTGTTAACAAGAAGAAGATGAAGAAGCAGAAGATGATGATGCTGTGTGTATGTATGTATGTCTGAGAGATGTCTTTTGCATGCCGAACATGAAGAAGCTTCTTCTTCAGCTCCAACACATCATCCAAGGTGTTTTACATCAAACAAAAAAAAAATGATTTAAATCACAGCTGTTGAATCTCAATGTTATCTTTAACATATCAACATCACTGCCCACACACACACACGCATCCACACACACACACTCACATGCACGACCAACACATTGAGAAGCTCTTAGATAAATAGTAAAATGATATGTTTCAGCCGTTTTTTTGTCTCCTCTCTCTTCTTTTGGATGACAAAATGGAAATTTGCATAATAATGCTTTTCCTTCTCCATTTCACTTTAAAAAGAAAAACGAATTTCGTCTTCTTCTATCAAATATCCTTCATTTTCAGAGCTTTATCCAGAAGCTTTTTGCCCAGAGATCCATTCCATAGATTTCCGTCTTTACAGCTTCACAGCTTTCAGTCAACTTCAATTGTCTTCGAAATAGATACAGCTTTACTAAAGTTCACCCCAGCTTTATCTTCATTCTTTTCTCGCTTCCCTCAGTTCAATCAGCTTCTGCCTATCTGAATTTCAGTCAGCATTTTTGCTTTTTTCTTTTTTTTTCGCCGTTTACGACATCGTCGTCGTTGTCGTGATCGTCTTCGCGTCTTGCTCTTGCCGTTAGCATTGCTTATCATAAATGCTCATGAACTTCATCAGTCACTCACACCACAACGAACTAACGAATCGACGACAACAACGACAACGACTTGTTTCAACGAAGGAGGAAGCAAAAAAAAAATTTTCTCTCTCTCTCTCTCTCTAAAATTCATTTTTCCATTAAATATTGCAATTTGTTGCCTTAAAAGCTGTTTGTTATGTGTGACGTCATAGAAATTCCTTAATGAATGAAGAATTTTATTGACAAAAACTAAAACATAAACCGTCTTCTGGTGAAGTTGAGCAGCTTACAGGAATGAAATGTGCTAGTAGACAGCTAGCTTGTCTATGTGTGTCTGTGTGCTGCTGTGGTAGTAGCACTAGGCTATATATACGTGAAGCTTTCATTATCGGAACATTGAAACATGTTGTTCATATCCATAACTATATATGGTATACGGTTAGAAGCTATATTTGAATGTTGCTTTTGTCCTTTTACTGTCTCATTCTCTCACTCGTCATTCTCTCGTTACTCTCTCTGTATATATAGATATCTCAATTCCAAAAAAGGAAGATTTTCGTTCCAAAAATTCATTTTTCATCCAATTTTCAATTTATTTTGATGTCCATTGTTTTGTTTCACTTACTTTCGTTATATGCCTCTCAGTCCCTTTTTCTCTCTCTCTTCATCTTTCTCTCTCTACATCTCTCTCTCTCTCTCTCTTCTACTCTTCTGAATCTTTACAAGATGGCAACACTGAGTGAATAGAAAAAAAAAGACTGCAATTCTTGCTTCAGACAATCTCCTAATTAACTATGCACATATATTTTACTGAAATACAACCGCTCATCTACGTCATTTGTTGTTAAAATGAAAATCTCACGTGTGTTTCACGTAAATACTCGTAAGCTCTCCGAAAAGCTTAAATTATATTCATATATTCAGTGCTTTAACTATGCTAGTTATGCATATTGAATTACAAAATGAATAGAAATTCTTCTTTCGTTTTTTTTTTCCAATTTTCCTGTTGCTCTTCTTAATTGCAATATACCTGACGAGAATTGGAGGCCATCCATCAAGTGCACCCACACACACACACACCCCACAAGTACACTAAGCTTTTCGTTTTGTTCCACATTTTCGAAATATTATCCAAAAAAAATATTTGCATGGAAGACGATGTGCTACCCTCGTAGTTGATCTCCGATGTCCCTCTTTCTCTCTATCTTTCAACCTCTCTCTCTCTCTCTCTCTCTCTCTCTCTTTCTCTCTCTAGCTTTCTGTCTGCCGGTCTTATATCGTCATTCTCTTAACTATACACATATAGATAAAGCGTCATCTTATACTCCAATAAGAAATATATATATTCGAGGATGACCTTTTCATCTTGAAGATGAGTAGGTTGTGAACGACGAGAATGCAACAGAACGAGTACGAACGAACGAAAAAAACGATGGAAAAGCCGGAAACAAATAGTTTCAGCTGATTGATTACATGAACTTTAAAAGTCAATAGTAGATGATAACTATATGATATAGTCAATCATACTCATCTCAACGATGAGGAGGATGTGCATCTATAAATAACCGTCAAAACAGTTATATTTAGAGATGTCAAGTTGGCATTCCAAACATGTCTCACAGCCTCAGCTCAATGCACTTCCTACGTTCACAACAATTTGATTAATTATATTAATTTATGCATCTTTCTTATTCGCCTCTCTCTATCTGCTAACCCTTCCCTACTCATCTCTCTCTCTCTCTTCATCTTATATATTTCCCCAGCTAACTATATATAGCTATATCTTTTATATTTTTTTTTATTACAACTATACGTATTGAGACATGTGATGAAAGATGTTATGAAGTTCATTCACACCCCTGATTCGTCTAACATCTCTCGTACATCTCACATTACCATACTGTCTCTTATTAAAGCACATGGTTTTTAAGCTTTTCCTTCAGAATCATTCATCTCTCATTCAATATCTCTGTTATCTTTTGTGTCATTCCTTAACATTGACCATTGAACTTCTCTTCATCAAACTCTTGTTCCAACCACCACCGCCCACCTAACAACTTCTGATTCATTTCTGTATCTTTCTGTTCCTCACAATTAATTTTCCGTCTGACGTCAATGCGGACCGACTATTGAAGATTTTCGAAAGTTTTCTTATTTTTAGCTGGTCATTAGAAGAGCATCGCTACAATCCCTTCTTCCATAGTGATTGCAAAAGTAATCCGTACCTCTCTCTTTCTCTTTCTTTGTTTCTCTCTCTCTCTCTCTATTCTCTCTCTCTATTCATTATCTTCATCATTCCTCAGCTGCTGGTCATTAAGCAAGGATTTATCAGCCTTCTCACTTTAATTACTTTAACTCATGACTCCTTTAGTGCAATTTCAATAATTCTTCAATGCAACTCAGTCACACATACTCTGTACCCCTCATTCCCTCTCCCTCCTTTCTCTCTCTCTCTCAATCTCAATTTCAGTATGAAATGATTTGAAAAAGCAATGCAAGGCAGTTTCATCTTTTCCCTCTTATATCATAAAATCCTGTAAATTGCTATTCAGCCAAGTCCTCACACTTACGATACAGCCTTACATCTATTGTACTCTTTATTATTTGTAGAGAATGAAACAACTGCTTTGCCTTACTATATCTTTATTAACTATATCATATAGTTAATTATTCAGTCTGATCTGTGATCTTTCACTCAGAAATTTTTTTTTCTTTCCTCCTTCATACGATGAGGTGAAAGAAAAAATTTTAAAAATGTGATTTTTCAGGAAGACGTTGACAAGACGAACAGCTCGGAGAGAAGTAAAAAAATATTTTTCGTCTTCCGTCCATTTCTATTTGTTGGAGCTGACGGACGAGGCTACAATGCAAATCTTTTAGAAATCTCAGCTCTTGCTGCCTCTCACTATTTACGTGAATGTTAACGTGGCATCCTCATCCCCTCCTCCTACCCAGCTCAGACCATCGCGTCGACTGACGTTGTTAACTCATTTGCGAATGAGCATCAGATGCTGATCGGTTGTATATACGGGGGATGGTGGAACAACAGACAACAACTCAGATAAAGCTCTTTTAAGCCATAATCTTTTTATAAATAACAAACAGACTCAATAGACTTAGCTCGTATCAATGAGATGCAACATGTAAGCTTAACTCCTGTAATCTCAACAAACGTATGTTTCAACACTCCATCATCTAATTCTCTTTTTTAATTTCATAGTTTTCAATCTGCTAACCTTCAAAATAATTTTTTTTTGTTTTGCTGCCCTCGTTCAATCAAATTTTGTAAACAGATTAATGATTTCGATGAAGCTTCCTTCATTCCTCAACTCTCATTCTCACTCTCTCTCTCTCTCATTCTATATTCTTAAGGTTAGCTTTTTGAACTTGACCCTTCTTTGAATCTCTCTCTCTCTCTTTCTCTCTCTCTTTCTAACTCTCGTCCTTCTCCTCATTCTATGATTCACAAATGTTTTTGAGGAAAATAAAATTATCGTCGTCCAGCTAACCTACCTTAATCAAAATTTCAAACAAACACACACGCACATACACACACACACATACTGTGCTTCAAGCCTCTGCTCAAATAAAATTTGAAAGAAAATCCTCAAAATTAAGTATTTTAATGACTTTTTAATATTTCTCCTGCCAGTTGTTGTTGTAGCTCATTGGCTCAGACGAAGCTTCCGCCTTCTGATGCAGGAACTGTTCGCATCCTCTCTACTTACGCACCCGCTTACCCTTTGCATCAGAAACAGAAGAAAAAAAAACATTTTTTTGCTCTTTTCATCCTTACATGGTCAGAACACATGTTGTTATGCAAATCATTTTTCTTTTTTTGTTTTGTTTCTGTTTTGATATGTCCTCAGGCTGTCGCCTTTCACTCTCTTATAGATAAGGGGCTAGACACCTGCGTGTCTAGTTGGACGAAAAGCTAATGAGACAGATTGACATATCGTTTCCTCATCATCTTCTTCGAAGCTTTACCTTAAAGCTGAAACTCTGCAAATCACTTATTTTTTCTATAAATCTCTCTTATATTTAACAGGAAATCGTCTTTTTTTTTTACAATTTTTATCTGAGAAAATGAAAATACATATCTCGTTGAGTCCAGTTCATCTCTCTCTATCTCTCTCTCTCTCTCTATCTATCACTTACTCTCTATCACATTCTCTCTTTATATTCAATCATCTCTCAGACAATTGGGCACTGCCTTAGACATCGTTATCTCATTCTCTCTCTCTCTCTTCATCTCCTCACTTTTTCCAAATCCCTCTTCTCTCTATTGCTTTTCTCTTTCAAGAAACAGAGAAGAACAAGTGTAAAATTGGCGTTTGCTACATCTCTCTACAAGCTCTTTTTAAGCTTTACCATACCCTTTTCGTAGTTTCGTCTATCTAAGCGGTTGTTTCGAACTCTTGAACTTTCCATTTCCCTTTAGTCTTCCACACTCTCTTTCTCTCCCTCTTTTATTCTATCTTATTCTCTCTTAAATTAAGAAAACGGAAAGTAAAAATTTTTGAGCTGCAAACGTCTTGTTGAGCTTCAGCTCAGTCGTCAAGCTGTGTCCCGGAGGCCACAAATTAGATTCTTGAAAGCACAAAACCTCTATTGAGCTTCTATAAGGATATACTATCTCTCTAAAGCTTTTTCCTTTCTCTTTTCATCTGATTCATTTGAGAGGAAAAAGTTTTTGAAATAACATATAGTCCTCTTCTTACTTTCCTTAAATTACTTCTTTATATCTCCCTTTTCCCGTTCATTCACCCTTCCATCCTTCTTTCTCTCTTACTCTTTACCTCTCTCTCTATCTTCTACACTCTCTCTCTTTTGCTCTATCAACTCTTTAACAAAAATTTCTTTCCATTTCCTCCGTTTGTTTCTTTGCCCCCAATCCGTATCCACCTTCATTCTCCTCTCACCATACAGAAACATCTCCGATCTGCTTCCTCCCCCCACCCAACCCCATCTTTAGAATCTCAAAAAACACGAACAAAAAAAAAACTTTTTTTCTCCTACAAATTTTCTTTTTGATATACTTGTGTGTGTGTGTGTCTCTCTCTCTCTATATCTCTTGTTCATTCTCCATTGTAATCTTGTAATTGGAGATTTTGTTATCAATGCATAAAAAAATGTGTTTAGGAAACTCTTGTGTCAAAGATCTTCAACATTCAGGATCTATCGCCTACCCTACATCACTCTCTACTCAGCACATCTCTCTCTCTCTCTCTCCCTCTCTCTCTCTCTCTTTCTTAAGCCTGTTGAATAATCGTCCATTATTTTTCAATGAATAATTGGACAATTGCCTGAGGGAACATAATCAGACATTAGAAGTCTCAAGGTGTTATCAACAAAGTCCATCATTCAAATAAATTCACTTTAATATTGTCAATAAAGAAGTACAAAATGAGTTTGACGACAACGGGTTAAGTTCGTCCATTCAGAATTCCCTTGTTCTCTCCAACAACGTCTCTCTCTATACTCTCTTTCTGTTGTATATCTCTTATCCTATCATTGTCTATCCTAATTCAATACTCACACACACACACACTCTCTCTCTCTCTCTCTCTCTCTCTTCCAATCATTCTCTTTAATTATAAATATATAAAAAAAAAGAAAATTTTTGATATTAAAAATCAACAGATGACGTCATGACGTTGTTTATTTATTCAAATTACGTCAAAGAAATCTGATGGCTTTCAGATCACGCAAGTCTTCTTTAGGCATACCCAATCGAAAAACTCTTTTCTTCTTCGACTATTTAGTTATTCTTTGGAGCATCAAAGCTTCTCAAATAGTCATTGATACTATTATCTATATATGGCCTTCTCTTGCTACTTGAAATAGAACACTCACTTCCATGCAATTGCTCGTCTAATACAATCACGTCATCAGATTCTTCCATCAAATGTCTTACATCTTCATCACTCTCTATCTATCTCTGTCTCTCTCTCTCTATCTCTCTCTCTTTGTATGTTGGAGGAAACGAACGCATCTCTCTTTTAATCTTTCATTTTTGAAACTTTTGAAACAATTAATCCATCTACACTACAAGCATCTCTACTACTTCTTCTACGCACAGCTTTATGTGATTCCTTCTGTTGATGTCCAAGTCCTCCTAGCTTCTCTCTCTCTCTTTCTCTTTCCAACAACACATAGATAGAAACCCTTTTCATATTTTTAATTCAAAACTTATACTTAAATATTAAAATGTTCATAATGTAAACAGAATTTAAATATAATTTACTTTTGCAGCTTTTGCTTCTTCGTCTTCTTCTTCCAATTCTTCTTCTTCTGCTACTACTTGATGTTGCATCTCATTTCATTGTCTACGTAGATGTGCATGCATACATGTATGTACAACCGTTCTTACTCATTGCAACCACTAACAATGACCCGTGTGAACGTGAAAGTTCACGTTGTCCACGTTGATTTTGTTGATTAGCTAATTATTCTGATTCATGTGATTGATAATGCATTATATTTGAAAGATTCAGCAATCAGACCATTCCATCTGATTCTTTCAACCTGTGACGTCATTCATCTTTCACTTACGAGCATTTCTCTTTGCACCGAGTGTCCAGATGAAGATCTCTGAAGCTAAAAGCCTAAAGGACAATAAGCTGAAACTACTGACTGCTGCTGCTGCTGCTGCTACTGCTGTTGTTGAAGAAATCAGGAAATGACTAAGCATGTGGGCTTTTAACTTCTCAACTGCTTTATCTGATAATCAGATAAAATTGAGAAATTGAAGAAGAAAAAAAATGTGATGTCTAGAAGATGCTCTCTAAAGCTTTGAAAAAGCTTTTCTTCAATTTCGGCTCAAAAAACGGATTCTGAGTGTGTGTGTGTGTATCTGTGTGTTGGTGTGTGTCTGTGTGCTTATGTGGTCTGATGTGGTTCATGCACAGACATATTCATATTTAGCTTCTTTTTTTCATCCGATTTGACACATCAGCCTAATGTGATGACAACTGTTGGAAGAACTTTGATTGCAAACAACGTCTTCCTTGTCGTCGTCATTGTCTTCATCCTCTTCTTCATCTTCTTTTTCTTTTTGTTGAAGTTTTCAAAAGTTACTCGACAACCACAGAGTTTTGTCAGTTGATCTTTGCAATTTATGCCCTCAGGATTGTTCTGTGATGTTGTTGTTTTTGAGGAGAACTAAGGAATAAAACAAAAAACTTAAATATATAGAATGATTGAGAGAGTTATAGTGATAGTGAGAGGGTGAAGAGATGAAGAGCTTCAAGCTCACAACAGTCTTGATTTAAGTTAGATAGTATGATTTGATGAGATGCTGAATGAGAGAAAGAGAGAGAAGAAAAATAAGAGAGAAAACAAAATAAATTTATCAGAGAAAGAGAGAGAGAGAGAGAAAGAGAGTGTGAGAGAAATAGAAGGAGGGAGGGGGGAAGAGAGAGATAGAGAGAAAGAGAGAAAGAGGAAAAGGAAAGCCAAAATAAGAGAACAAGAACCTTTTACTCATTGGCTTCTCTACAGCGAGCACAAACCTCCCCTCATCTCTCATCACCTTGATCTCTCCGCCTCCAAACGACATCAGATGATCTTTTCAGTTGTTAAAAATGAATTGGACGACAACAACTACATGACTTCTGAAGAAAAATCTTTAAAATTAAAATTCAAATCACTTTAAACTCAATTTTCGTTTTCTCTCTATCCACCGCTTTCAACACATTCTCGTTTGGAATAGTATTTGATGTACTCCGACATTAGGCTTCTCGTATTATACTATTTGGATCTCACTCATTCTATTTTACACACATATTGTTATTCTCTTGTTCTATCGTTAGATGTTAGCTATACAGTTACTCAATGACAATATGCATTCAGAATAAGATGGGAAATACGAATTCCGGAGATAAATTGCCTGAAGAAGTCAGAAGGAAAGCTAAAAGCGTTTCTGAGCGTACACCTAATACAACCACAAATGGCAAACGACTTCCAAGCAGTGCAAGGTAAGTATGAAAGTCTCTTTTCATTACCATATAAGCACTATGCTTCTCAAGCTTTCATCATAAACTATCTCTGATTCTCTACTATCTACTATTCCAGAGCTTCAATGTCGTCACAAGGAAATCGCAGACCCATACTGACCGTTAATCAACGATCAATTATTAAATATTGCTTAGATAATGCAAAAGATGACTTGGGTAAGTGGAAAAAAGCATTTCTATCTCTTCATCCTTCACACTCTTCATTTTGATTTTTGGTTTTTAACAAAAACAAAACAAAACATAGAAAACACCTTACTCTATTTATAATCTTCTTGTTTTTGTATGCGTACACATCCCCATCTTACAGCTTTCTCCTCCACGTACGTATGCTATCCTTCTATCCCACCCTCTCTCTCTCTCTCTCTATCTCCCTCTCTCTCTCTCTCTCTACTCCTCTAATATTAATTAATTATAAACTTTTCTTTTAATTATATTCAACACGTTTGTTTCTCTTCTAACGAACAAAAAAAAAACATTTTTTTTTCTTTCAAACACATATTCATCTTCGAACATTTAGCTGATCGGATATTACGTCGAGCTGTGGAGAAGAAGGATGATTTCAAAACTTTCATGGATACTCTGCCAAGGGTAAGCGGTTGCTCATTTTCATTTTCTCTTTTTTTTTTTCATTTTCATCTTCATTTTCGCGCAGAGCGGTTGTTTTTGCTTCTGCTCATTCCATTCTTTTAGTTCCTTCTTGCTTTCCTGTCTCTTCCTCTCTTCTAGTCATTTAGAGTACTCATACTCTCTCTCTCTCTCTCTATCCCTCTAAAGAGATATCTCTCTCTCTCTCTCTATCTACTCTAGTCGTAGAATTAGTTTTTAAAGTTTATGTACTTGTTTTTTCTATATTCATGCCCATTATTGATGAAATCACATCGTATACTCAAATGCGATTTGCATTTTTTGTTTTTCTCATCTCCAAAGTTTTAAACTTTTGCTTTTTCTTTGTTTGATAGAAAGATGTGGATAAGAAGCTTTTGTCTTGAAATTCAGATGAAGAAGGAATTGGTAGAAGCTGTAGTACTTCTAGAAGAAGAAGAAACATCCATATCATCAGAAGTGATATTGAAGATATGAGACATGATCTCTTCCACCCTCGATTCTACATCCTCTAAGGAATAGATGATTACCTTCTCGTGAGATGAAGCCATATGATATACATATGTTGACGAAGATCATCAAAAAAGATTATATACGAATATTCCTTTTTTGGGTATATTGAAGAAAAAAATATGAAAAATTCATTCTCATCTTCATCTTCCTTCACTCACACTGCCAGCCATCTCATAACTGAATCTCATCTGAATGCATTTGTGTCCAATAAGAGTATTAGATAGACAGGTGAAAGAACAAAAGCCATTTATGATGATATCAGCATTCTCAGAATGATTATCTGACAGCCAACAAATTCCTAACCGAATTTCATCAATTTTCATTTTAATTTTTGTTCCACAAAGTGCTTGCCTAGAGATCAAGAAGTTGTCTTTCTGTGTTAAACACGGAACAAAGACACCGAAAGTGAAAACAAATTTCTATAATCTCTTCTACAGCTTCTTCATCTACGTTGTCCTTTTCTCCTTCTCCTTCCTTTTTCACTCAAAGCTGTTTCTTGCAAAATGCCATTCGTAGATAGTTTCATTGGTGTGTAATGACTCTCATGAGATTTGAGTATGTGATCATCTCATCAGTCCTCTTCCTCTCTCTCTCTCTCTTCTTTTTTCTCTACTAGACTTTTCTGAGCTCTTATCTATGCTCTATCATATGGCGATCTATGTTGATGATCATCATATGCTCATTACAATTCATTTGCTTTCATATTTTCAGACAGACCGAACAAACTTATCATCTGCTCTTCGCGACTTCTTATTGGCCGTTTGTGACAACTTAACAGATTCAGAAGAAATTCAACGTGTACGTTACAGAATGAGCAATCACAATTGGAATTCTTATTTTGCATCTCTTTCAGCTTTCCGAAGAATTTGGAACTCAATTTGTACCATATCGTAATTATGGCTTTAAGCCTGATTTCTTTGCATGCACAGCTGATGCCGTTACAACAGAATGCACGTTTTTGGATCAAGCAACCCACACAGCTAGTGAAACAGCTGGTAGTTGGTCAGTAATCAGTCTACCTAGACATGTTTCAAACACAATCTGTTATTGTAGGTCGATGCTAACTGCATTTGTATTTTCTGCAGTTCGGGATGGATATTACTGTGAATTACGAAAACAAAGAAGAAATAGCTCTGCATTTCGTAGCCGGCCTTCAGTAGATGTAAGTACTGACGGTTCAACAGGATGTGACAGACGGTACGGCTATAACCCTATCCATAGATCTCATTCAACATCTTGTTTCAGCTCACGTTCTGCTTCGCCTGCTGTAGACGAACTCTCGCACTCCAGTGAAACAAAAGAACCAAATAATTATCTTTTACCTCCTCAGGTCTATTAACTTCAGTATTTGTTGGACAAACTTAATTGAAACACAAAAACAAGAAGAAAAACACTTTTCAACTGCTTCCCTCTCTCTGTCACTCTCTCTATCTATTTCCCAGCCTCTCTCTCTCTCTACCGTTACTCACGGATCTACCAATGGCCACTCCTCGAAGTCATCTTCTATTTCAATTATACATTTCATTTCATCGATTGTTAACCTGATGACTCTCATCTATATTTGTATGAAAATGAAAGGGTTCTAGTTTCGTAAAAGTCTCGGTCCTGGCTTCTCCTACTAAACAGTGTCAACATTCAGCCCTTATTTGGTTACAATGCTTATTTATGAAGATGATGTCAATCACACTCATACTGAGTTGAACGATGACATACTCAAAGTAACCAATGAGTGCATGAACAAGTGGACATAGCCTATAACTGAGCACTGCTCGAGACCAGTACCAATGAAAGTATGTGATTAAGCAAATGATTGAAAAAAATATTTTACGGCGTCTTATTTGGATTTTTGTACATTTCGTTCGTTCTTACGTTCGTTCATCTAAATTACTTATTCAGCTATTGAAATAAATACATTCTAAGTTACAACTGTGCTTCCATTCAATTGACATCGAACATCAACATTGAACGATAATCAAGCCATTTGCATATCTCACACAAACGTCCGTCACTGCTCATCAACAGACGATGGCACGTGCTTTCCATTTCATATTCCGTTTCAAGCGTTCAAAGGAGAGTGACTAATACAGAATCAGTGGAATATATAATAGAATCGTCCGACGGCTTTCTCTAATCGTTGCTCGCAGAGCAATGTTCTTGCACGATCGTTTGGAAATGGTCATTCTCAACTCAAAGCATAATAGAAAAAACTAATGGCTGGAATTGCATTTCGTCAGTTTATGACAGCTGATCTCATTGAGCTGAGATGATTTCCATTCAAACAATCATATGGCGGATAACATTACTGAGTATCCTTTTGAGAACTTTCCCTCCAGATGATGCAACCACTCTTCATACACAATTTCAAGAAATAATGAAATTTCATTACACGTGGGTTCACATTCAGCTGCGAGTAACTGCGGTTGAGCAGCAAAACAGATGTTGCTGCCTGACTTCCGAAGATATTTTTCCCGGAAATTTTCAATTCAAACAGGTTGGAACTTTGAAAAAACTGTGTTTCCTTAAGGGACACTTGATTGCATTTCGTTCGGCTGAGAAAGTTGTTTTGAAGAAAACAATGAGATATACAAGACTAAGTTGTTGAGTTATAAATTGAAAAACACAGTCAACTTGACGTAGCTAAAACAATTATCCTTTGAA